TTTTGACTGCTTTAGGACTAACAGAACCTATCAGGTACATAGATAAACTTTGAATAAAGTAAAGAGAGGTTTAGAGCCAGATTTTTGTTTATGATTGTGAAATGTAGCTATAGCAGGAAACACAAAGTATGTTTAATTTTCCTATATGTGACCCTGGCGCACAAAACCAGTCATAAGGGTCAATTTTGTGAAATTGAGATTTATGCATCAACTGAAAGCTGAATAAATAATCTTTCCATTGATGTATGGTTTGTTAGGATAGGACAATATTTGGCTGAGATACAACTATTTGAAAATCTGGAATCTGAGGTTGCAAAAAAATCTAAATATTGAGAAAATCATCTTTAAAGTTGTTCAAATGAAGTTCTTAGCAATGCATATTACTAATCAAAAATTAAGTTTTGATATATTTACGGTAGGAAATGTACAAAATATCTTCATGGAACATGATCTTTACTTAATATCCTAATGATTTTTGGCATAAAAGAAAAATCAATAATTTTGACCCATACAATGTATTTTTGGCTATTGCTACAAATATACCCCAGCGACTTAACACTGCTTTTGTGCTGCAGGGACACATATACTCTTTTGAGTAGTCAAACAATACAAAGGAAACCTCTTTAAACAGAAAGTAAAATTAACTAACAAAATGATATTGGATGAACATTAAAAAAATCTGACCAAAAGTGTTTTTCCACAAATATATTTCAAAATATATATATATATACATACATTATATATATATATATATAAAATAGTTTTGACCTGTATTCCATCCACATTTGCATTTGGCCCAACTGTACGATGTAAATGTGCTACTGTAAGATGTATTTTCTTTCTCCTGAAAAACTTTTTGAAACAGCATTTTATTTGATTTATTATTTTGTTTTGTACGGGAGTAAATGTAACTTATGGTGCAAACGGTCTCCAGCTTTGAGGCTTAGTGTTAGAGGTTTGATCACTAGTGAGGACTGACTCGGTAACCAGCACTAACCATTCGCTCAGAACCACAGACGGTGCAGTCAGAATATTCCTGCCTCATGAATGCATTAGTGACAGATCCCATGAGTGTGTGAGGTAACGGATCATCTTCTCGTTGGTGGCGCTGACAGCTCTTGCTGGAACATGTGGTCCATCTGCTGGATCTGAAGCTCCTGGAAAAGCCTGGTGATGACAGAATGAAGGTCTGCGATTCTGCTTCTCATGAGAAACGCCAAACAGACTGTCGATCACATCTGCAGTGACCTTCAGAAAACCTGCAGTGTTTCTGCTTGTGGTCTGAATCTTCTGAACATTGCGTGCTGGGATATTAAATCATGCTTTGAGAAGAAATACTGCCGGCTAGTGAGGAAAAAACCTCACCTTTGGTTTTGTCAAGATGAATGTTACTTACATTCAGCAAAACCTTCTCAGGTTTTTAACTGCTGAAGGAGAATTTGCATCACAAATTCAGTCTGATTTTCATCTTCATCTCTCTGTGCTTGATCTGTTTTATGATTTGAGCTTCAGTGTGCTGATCTGAAAACAGTGCAAGACAGTTAATTAAACATCCGAGTAACAATGGACAACATTGATATAATTTTCTAATTTTATTTCTTTACTGATACTTTTATACATGGTGCATATGTACAATAATAAGTTATATATACAGTTGTGTTTGTTGCATTGGAGCTCTGCTAGAAACGTGACGGCGAGGTTGACGTGGCCTTTACAAGTTGAACATAAAATAAAATGCATTGTTTGTTGATATACAGTATATATATTTACGTGGGACGTGAGGAGGGTAAACAAACAATAAAAAGGCCAAAAGCAGTATCTGAAGTGGTTCTGCAAGCATACTGTACTGTGTGTGATCGTTCAGGAGACCGGCTCCATTCAGTCACTTACAGTCCCTACAAACACCTGACTGTAGCTTTCTGAGTGATGAAGCCTCAAACACCAGCAGAAGTGTGTGTTTCATTAAAGCGGCTCGCTGCTGCATGCAGTTAAAGGTTTGCACAGCTGCCTCTGCTTCCCATCGCACACTTTACGGCTTTTCCGTTTGGGTTATTAGTTAATGAGGTGCTGGAAATCACAGCCGCTTTACACTCAGAGTCATAAAACACCAATTCCACACACACACTTCTGATGTACTTGTACCGTGTTTGAGAGTTTCCTTCACATCAATGTAACATTTAGGCAAGACACTACAGGCAAACATTTTTTTTCAATATTTTAAAAGTTTTCTTAAAAACACATTTCTTAATAATAATAATAATAATAATAATAATAATAATAATAGTACCACAACTGTTTATTATATAAAAGTAACACAATTTTTAATGTTTTTTTTTATTATTTGTATAACATTTATTTTAAAATATATTTTAGAATTAATTTAAAAAATAAATATAATAATAGTAGTAGTTGTTTATTGTACAAAAGTAACACAACTGTAAAATTTTAATTATTCTTAAATTTATTTTTCATTATTAAATTGATTTAAACAATGTTAAAAAGAGATTATCATTTTTTTTTTAAAAGCATTTAAAGAAATAGTTGTCTTTCAGACTAGTGGAAAGCATCCAAAATACACATTAAAGTGTATATTTTATTGCACTTCATCTATTTGCGTCTGTAGATATCAGTTCTTTAAAGAGTTTTTCTCTTACAAACACCAAACTTTACGGTTTTACTTCTCTCTCTATATTCTGTAGGTTTGTTCATATTTCATTTATACAACATTTCATTCCTAAAAACATGGTGAAAAATGTGTTTGTTTTCTGTCTGTTGACAGCATTTTCTGATTTATGGAGTGATTAAAAGAGAAATCCATAATCCCTTCTGGAAAAACCTTTAACTCTAATATGACAACAAAACCAAACCAGCATTATGAACCTGACTTTATCCAATGTTCAGATTTATGTTCTGGAAATGAATGCAAATTAGTGCATATTTAATTAGATAATGCCTAATTTGCATATTTAAAGATAACTTTTCAGAAAACGTTTAGTTTTAATGTACTGTGATGAATTAGCTGGTGAATCGATTAGTTCACCCTGAGCGTCTTGCCTTGAAACAGATGTGTTGTTTGCCAGGTAGCTCGTTATGCACATTTAGAGCGTTTAACGAACTTGAACTCACTCAGTAAGAGTCTTCAGGCTGTTGTCGCAGCAGAAAGAAAGCAGACGGTCACTGTAACGAAACACTGAGAATAAAACACGTTCTTGACAGCACTTAAAATCACAGCTTGAAGAGTCTGTTTGTTTCAGGCTGCTTGTTTATCGATCGCATTCCCTCCATCTGTCAAAAGAAATCAACAGCGTCGCAGTGAAGGCGTCCATTGCAAGTCCATTTCAGAAATACACAAACTGGCCAGTTCTGACTTCAGGGGCCTCATTTATAAAGCGTGCATGCGCTCAGATTTGATCTTAGAATCACTTCCATAATGTACTTAAAGTGCTCTATTTTTGCGCACTAATTTTGTACTTAATATACTAAAAATTATTCTTTAGTACTTCTTAAGATAATATATGAATATGAACTAAAATGCGCTTTAAACATACTATCTCTGTATTGAAAAAAATGTATTTAGTCACCACTTGAACCCTTCTTTCATACACTAGTACACTCAAGTGTACTATAAGTGGTGACTTTTTAAATACAGAGATAGTATGTTGAAAGCGCATTTTAGTTCATGTTCATGGTGTCCCAAAATAGCACAGTTGAGTACACTTAGTTGATCTTAAGAAGAATTAAATAATCATTTTTAGCATATAAAGCACCGACGAGCTGTGACTTTTTTAACCGGGTATGCAGAGTGCTAAGATCAGCAGTGAACAGGAGTTAAAACTCCCACCCGGGTGACACTACTCCAATAACAGACCATGCAAAATACCAAAAAATAATTATATATTTAAAATATTACCAATGCTGCCAAGAAACGTTGCAAACAACAATAAAATCAGGGAGGGACTGTAACTATAAGCGGCACAAGCATACGGAAAACATGTTTCCTCTTTTTTTCCTGATGTTTGTTATTATTAGTTAAAATTTTATAAACATTTTTATAAACACTTTTTTTTTAATTTACCACTTAGGCATGTTGTATCTTCAACATTGTCAATGAGATATGTTTTCAGTGGACTTTCAAAATTTGCTTTGCTTGAGAAAGCATGAAAATATACAGTTACAATGTTTTTTTTTTATTTGATTTAGTTGAGCTAGATTTGCATCAAACACAATGTAAATTTTGGCAATCGAGATCTGGCAGCAACAGCGCATTTCTCCGCTTGAGTGAGGGCTTCACGGACAGTCTGAACAAGGCTTTTGTTGCGTCTCAAATGACAAGGGATCAACTTATAATCATATTTATATTAACTAGTAGAGCTGGGACAATAAATCGATGCATTCATGGATCGATTCTGAGATTTTCTGAATGCATCGTGATTCTCTCTGGAATCGATTCTGAGCTTAGTTTTTAACAGCAGATGGCGCTCTAGGTTAGTTTTTAACCGCACACTCAAATGCTCACGAAGAAGAGCGCTTGTACGTTCAGCTGAGTAATGTAAGTGGTTAAATGTACTTGCACATCGGCTTTTATGCTTTTATGATGCGAGATTAACGTAAACACAGCCCACTACACATCCTTGTAATTCGAATGTAACTTGAAATCCTTGTGATGATTATTTTAGGTTCAAGTGGTGTGTGTAAGGAACTGGAAGCAAGCAGAATACAGCTATTTCTAAAGCACGCAGCGCCATCTGCTGTTCAAAACTAAGCTCAGAATCGATTCAAGAGAGAATTGCGATGCCTTCGGAAAATCTCAGAATCAATGCAGAATAATTTTTCGATTCGCGATGCATCGATTTATTGACCCAGCCCTATTAATTAGCCTGTGAACTCATTCTCTCAGACGGCCTGGGTATATGGACGGAACGCCACTGATATTAAGTACAAAATTAGTGCGAGAATATAGAGCACTTTAAGTACATTATGGAAACTTGCTTTTTTAAAAAAAACCTGGGTTAGGATGGTTTCTGCGCAACACTTTATAAATGAGGCCGCAGCCCTGGTCTGGATGGGTTCTCTCAGACGCTGGCGCAGCGGGAGGTGAGATTGGGATGGTGGCTGGATGGAGGGACGCTGTTCTCGGGGCCCAGAATGTCGAAGCAGAGGGTCTCGACGGCATCCAGCCGTTCGATCTGGACCAGACGGGTCAGCAGGTCCGGGATGCTGTATCCCGCCGTACTGATGCGGTCGAAGAGCTGCATGCCGTCCGTCATGCCTCCGATCTCGTCGCGCTTCAGGCCGAAGCTCTCGGCGAGGTGCCTCCACGTCTTCACCACTGCCTTGTCCGTGCTGTAGGTGGTGCTGAGCATGCGGCTGCTGCGCTCCAGACAGTCGAATGGCAGCTCGGTTGGACTCAGACCTATAGAGATGAAGAACACCATCATCATCATCAGAGTAGGGATGGGCGATATGGGCTTAAAATATATCACGATGTTTCTGGTATTTATTGCGATAACGATATCAATGGCGACAATTCAGGGAATACTGTTTCTTTAGAGAAAAGTATTATCTTTCCTATTTTTACCCAAAATAGGGTGTTGTGAGCATTACAGAGTACACACGTAATGTAATGACGGTTTAATTCATACTGGAAGCCAGAGGGCGCCCTTGCGCAGAAACTCCACACATGCATCACAGAAGTAATAGCACTGATGAGGACGCTCCAGGAAATCCCTAATATGGACAAAGGTATCGCTGAATAAAACGCACAACGGAGATAGAGAAAATTTAACTGATGAAACTTGAAGACAAGAAACGTACGATTGCACAAAATATATGGCTTATCTGTGTGCTTCAAGCAATCTTGGGTATTTTTTATAAGGGGCTCATACACATGCAAAGGGCTACATTTATTCAGACCGATTTTTTTGTGCACTGTACAGCCCTGACCAAACCAGTTCGATTATAGAAGGAGCTCCTCGTTTAGCGATAAACTCCTCCTCAATTTCACGTCCGCCTTCCACGAGGGCACTCCGCCCGGGTGCACACAGAAATATGTCAGCAACTTCGTTATTATCACGGGAAGACTAATTCTTATCATGGGGAGAATTTTTACCGGTATATCGCAAACGTTAAGATATCACCCATCCCTACATCAGAGTAAACTAGGAGTAAAACACTGGCTACGTTTACATGCAACCAAATAATCTGTTTGTAATCGGATTGACGGCTCAGTCGGACTGAAAAACGTTCATGTAAACACCTTAATCGATCCGATTGAGCTCGATCAGAGTGAAATTTAGATCGGATTGAAGGGGGTGGTTTATTCCTTTTCTAATACGATTGAGAGTGCATGTAAACATTCGATCAGATTGAACCCCCGAAACTGAAAGGACTGCACATGTGCAATGACGCAGAAATAACGTAATGACTTATGACGCGCAGAACGAGCGGCTCTTCCTTTTGAATAAAGTGTCATATAAATGCGTGTCCTGTCATTATAAAACTCTCCTTTCACTCGGCAACTGTGAAGTGGAGCAGGACAACCTCCCACCAGTCCTTGTTTTGGATTCTCATCCACAGGCAACCCGTTTTGGGTGCGGGGAGGGGCATTTTTACTGTGTGATAAATATGAGCAGCACGGCACAGCGGTTTATATGAATTCAGTCCGATTGAACCAAAAACTTGTAAATGTAGGCAGTGTTATCAGGAAAGACTCTCATTTGCAGGGTTTATGACAACCAACACACTTCTAAAACTAACAAAAATTCTTACAATCAGAAAATTCAATTGTGAATTATTATTTTTATTCATTGTTACATGCATTTCTTGAAAATATTTTAAATGTATCTATTTTTAAAAGTATGTAGCAGAACTTTTTATTGTATAAAAATAATAAACATTTAATTTTTTTTAATTTTATAAAAAAATTAAAAAGAATTAAATAATTATTAATTAAAAATTATTTAGTATTTTTATTATTACATTAACTTTTTTAAATATGTAAAAATTATCATTTATTTTAAAAAATAAATGTAATAATAATAATAACAAAAATACCACCAGAATTGTTTCTTAAACAAAATTAACAAAAATCTGATTCAAAATAAAGATATATTTTATTATCTTTTATATTTATTATTTTATTATCAAATGCATTTAAAATGTAAAAAAGTACTAATACATACTAATAAAACTAATAAAAATGTAAATTAAAAATAAATGTAATAATAACAGAACTGTTAAAAATTTATTTATTATTATTATTATTAAAATAAATAATAATACTGACAGTACCATAACTGATTACTGTACAAAAATAACAGAAATCTCCTTAAAATGTTAAAATCTTTAAAATTGTGATTTATTCATTTTTATTTATTATTTGTATTATTACATTTATTAGGTCAATAATTCTCACAGAACTTCTTGTGGTCATGTAAGCCATGTTTATTCTCACTGTAAGTGAACTCATACTTAACCATGCGTAGTTTTGATCATCATGTACCAAGTGATGAGTTTGTGTCAAACATTGAGTTTGATTGACTGAACTCATCAACAAGAGCACATCTGTGAGGAGTCTCTCCTCCCTTTTAAGAGCTGACAAGTGTTTATTTTAATAGTATGTATTATATGGGTCCCATCAGAACAGTCCACTGGGATAAACAATGATAAAAATGCATTTGATTTGACTTAATTTCAATGATAATAAATCAATATTTTTCCTTCTTCAATGATCTTGCTGCTCTATTATTTCTCTTATGATTTTCTGAGTGGCAAGATTAACTCCACATGATTTAATGTGGGAGTAATGTGCTTCTGTAAATGTTTAGTGTGTTTGCAGTGAGGTGGAGATCTGTTTGTCACACACTCCTGCTCATTACAGCTTTAACACAGCAGTCGTCGTCTGTGTTTTACAGGCTTGACATAATCATGAATTCACGGTTACGGTTACACTCACCCTCCGCAACACTGCAGGCTTTTGTGTACAAATCCAGGATCTTTTTCCTTCTGCTGTGAATCTGCAGAAACAGGAAATGTTTGGATGAGTCACACAAAGCAACAGAGTTCAATCTGAACCTACAGAACAAGATCAGATGTGGAGCAGAGCTGTAACTGAAAAACTTAACAGAGTCCAAGAACAGAACATTTAATGTTAGAGGTGTGATGGGATACACCTTACGCTTTTAAAATACGGTACAAATTGTGAAATATTTTTAATATTTAAACTAGCTGTTTTCTATGTGAATATCTGTTAAACTGTAATGTATTTCTGTGATGCGCAGCTGTATTTTCAGCATCATTACTCCAGTCTTCAGTGTCACATGATCTTCAGAAATCATTCTAATATGCTGATTTGCTGCTCGAGAAACATTTCTGATTATTATCAATGTTGAAAACAGTTGTGCTGCACAATATTTTTGTCAAAATAATAATACACTAGTTTGGGGTAGTTAAGATTGAAAAAAAAGAAACACTTATTCATCAAGTATGCGTTAAATGAATCAAAAGTGACAGTAAAGACATTTCTAATGTTACAAAAGATTTCTATTGCAAATAAATGCTGTTCTTTTTAACTTTCTATTCATCTGTGAATCCTGAAAAACAAAATGTGTCACAGTTTCCACAAAAATATTGTGCAGCACAACTGTTTTCAACATTGATAATAATCAGAAATGTTTCTAATAATCAGCATAAAAAATAAAACGTATCACAGTTTCCACAAAAATATTGTGCAGCACAACTGTTTTCAATATTGATAATAATCTGAAATGTTTCTTGAGCAGCAAATCAGCATATTAGAATGATTTCTGAAGATCATGTGACACTGAAGACTGGAGTAATGATGCTGAAAATACAGCTTTGATCACAGAAATAAATTACAGTTTAACAGATATTCATATAGAAAACAGCTGTTTTACATTGTAATAATATTTAACAGTTTTACAGTATTTTTGATCAAGTGAATGCAGCATTGGTGATCAGAAGAGACTTCTTTCAAAAACATAAAAAAATCGAAATGATTCCAAACTTCAGCGTAAATATCTCTTATACGTGTGTGGTGTGGTATTCACCCCGGTGGCTCTGCTGCTGGTGGTGTTGTTGTTGTTGCTGATGGGGTTGGTGGAGCAGGTCTTGTCCCGCGTCAGATGCACCAGAGACAGAAGGCAAAGGTCAGCGGCTCCCTGTTTATCCTGAGCTGCTTCCTCGTCACTATCGATGCTGCGACTCAAAAGCTGCTCGTTCTCTGATGACGCATCGTTCTCACTGCAACAGTGCAAGTATTTAGTGTTTGACGGCACATGTACAAAGAATAATAGTGATTCTGCCAGAAAACAATCACAATCAGTGGTTCTCAAACAGGACTTGTCAAAATATAAATGAAATACAACCCCAACTCCAACTCTTTAAAGCAAACAGTCTAACAGAAATAGATGAATCCTGCAGTGCACACTGCTATAGCTTGCAAATCATATTTTAATACATTTCAGCCATGCAACGTTCATCGGACATTGCATTTTTATTTTTAAAATAAGAGAAAACATGCTTTAAAATAGGCTAAAACAACTAAAAATCAAGTAACGCTAAACAATACATAAACATTAGTTAATATAAATTAACAATAAACAAAAAAGCATTTAAAAATATTAATGTTAATTTCAACATTTATTACTACATTTCTAAAATCATTGAACAACTGTTTTTTAATTAACTAACATTAACAAAGATTGCTGTAAAAATACATTGCATTTTATTAGTTCATATTAACTAATGCATTAACTAATCTTAACAAATGATACCTTATTGTAAAGTGTTACAAATGTTTCTTATTTTAATTCACTCTCTCAACAACTGAGCAGAGGAAGAGTTCATGTTGAAAAATATTACTTTATTGTAATGTTTTATCCCGGTCATAGTCACTATGAGCTGCATGAAGGTTCTTCAGGGTTTGAAACGACTCCTTGATGAAAGAGCCTGATTTAGACATTTGCTTTTCTGCCTATTGTGGTTTACAGTAATAACTATCATGTACTGACTAGCCTGTTGTTTTCAGCTCGTAGTTAAATTTCCCAGGAAGAGCTTCCCAACAAGCGCCTGTTGACAAAGACGGCTCAGAGCCGCGCACAGAATGTCATTGTTTTCAGACACTCGATACTGCGCCGGTCTGGATCTGCATTAGCACATACTCTGGCACGAGTCAAATCTCCTGCTTCACATGTCTACAACAATCATAAACAGATGCAATCTATCTACATATTAGTTCATCTAGAATATATCTGACCAATTGCAATCAGTCGTTTGGGCTTTTTCGCTTTTCATTACATGTTGTTTCAGACTAGTGGAAAGAAAAAAAATCCAAAATACTCGTTTTTATTTTATTGCACTTTATCTATTTGCATCTGTAGATTTCTAATCTATATATTTAAAGAGATTTTTCTCCACTTCAGCAGCACTTACAAACACCAAACTTTACAGTTTTATTCCTATCTATATTCTGAAGTGTTTTACTGAGGGGTTTGTTCATGTATAACTTGCCTGGTTTTATTTGTACACTTTATCTATTTGCATCTGTAGATTTCAGTTCCAAAACATATCTTAAAAAGTTTTTTCTCCATTTCAGCAGCACTTCCAAACACCAAATTTTACAGTTTTATTCCTACCTGTATTATGAAGGGTTTTACTGAGGGGTTTGTTCATATATCATTCACCTGGTTTTATTTTTGCACTTTATCGTTTTGTTTCTGTAGATTTAATTTACAGTACATATCTTTAAAGAGTTTGTTTCTCTACCTCAGCAGTAATTACATACACCAAATTATAAAGTTTTATTCCTCTATATATTCTACAGGTTTTTACTGATGGGTTTGTTCATATCACTTGCCAGGTTTTATTATTGCACTTTATATTTTTGCGTCTATATTTTTTCAATTTCAATACACACAAGGCCTTTTTTCTCAAAATGAGTTTGTTTCTCCACCTCAGCAGCACTGACATATACCAAATTCTATAGATTTATTCCTCTCAATATTGTGAAGGTTTTTACTGAAGGGTTTGTTCATATATTGTTTGCCTGGTATTATTATTGCACACACATCTATTTGCATCTGTAAATTCAATTTGCAATACAATCTTTAAAGGTTGTTTTCTCATAATGAGATTTATCTCCACTTCAGCAATGGTTACACAAACCACATTTTACAGTTTTATTCATGTTTATATTCTGAAGGGTTTTACTGAGGGGTTTGATCATACATAATTTGCATGATTTAATTTTTTGCACGTTATCTATTTGCGTCTATAGATCTCAGTTCCGATACACATAAGGCCTATTTTTCCCTCAAATTGAGTTTTTTCTCCACTTCAGCAGCACTTACATACACCAAATTTTAGAGATTTATTCCTCCCTATATTCTAAAGGTTTTTACTGAGGGGTTTGTTTATATATTGTTTGCCTGGTATTATTATTGCACTTTATCTATTTGCGTCTGTACATTTCAATTCCAATACACATCTTCAAAAAGTTTACAGTATGTGCTGGAAATGTAGTTCATATTTAATTAGATAATGCCTCATTTGCTTATTTAAATATAGCTTTTCAGAAAACTCTTAAATTCTTAAAGTAATTAAACACCTGGGGAAGTATGATGATATCTATTAGTTGTTTGTTTTTACCATATTCACCTGCAGTGTCTTGCCTTAGAGAGAGACGAGAGACAGTGTGTTATTCACAACAGTCAGAACTAATGAGTGTAAAGCAGGGGAAGTTCTCATCTAACTAGTGTGAGGAAATCAGTTTTATTTCTTTGTTCAAGCTTCAGCTGCTCCTTGGAGAAAAAGGAAGAAAAAAGGGTTTGAGGCGAAAAAGTGTCATCTTATGTTTGAAGCGGAGCTATTTTCACCTGGCGGTTTTGGCTGCGCCGCTGCGTAATTATCACACGCTTGATTACGTTTGTCTGAAATGAACATCTCCTGTGGAGAGCGTAGCTGCAGGCTGGATCTGTGTTCGATTACCTCATCCTGTCCGTGAGCCACATAATGTTTCCAGTCAGATGAGAAGAGAAGAGCTGCCGCACAAACATGTCCTGCGGTGGCAGAATTACTGGCACAATCTCACATGAGACGAGGAAACGTGTTTGACTTCACTTCACTGTGCTGCTTAAACCCTGTTTGTCTTGCAGTAGTTAAAGGTTTTGTTTAGCTTGAGTAAAGACTCACCTCTTTGCTGTTTTTGGAGATGAAGGCTTGAGCTTATCAAATTCATCCTTTTCTGCAAAGATCACCACGTTTTCTGGAAAGACAATGTGTGAAGATCAGTGACCTGCTCGTTCATCTCAGATCAGCTGTTGTTTTATTGAAACTTTTTAATAAAGCTTCTCTGGACATACGTTTTCAGTGTAATTTCAGTAAAAATAGAAAATAAATCTATTCTTTGTTAACAGCGAACCTATTTCAATTTGATTTCCAAATCTGATCTGGATGATCCGACTGTTTAATGCACGAATTATGAATATGCATTATGTATTCTTCATCACTGTACATCATTTATTTGAACGGTTTATGCAAGACTACATTCAAGTTTCTGTTTTTACTGATTATAATACAAACAAATGCATTTGGCAGATGCTTTTATCCAAAGAGACTTATATTGCATTCAAGGTATATGCATTTCTATATCGGTCCATGCATCCCCTGGCAATCGGACATTGGCATTGGTGTTGCAAGTGCCATGATTTACTGTTCGAGCTACAGGAACTAAACAGATACGAGTTGGATATGTGTCAAATTAAATAAATGGTCTGTTTTCTGTCTGTGTGAATGCTCATCTGAAGTCAGAGTTGCAGCTGCGAGTGCATGAGTGGATCTTTCTCATGTATTCTGTTATTATAAGTGGCTTAGCTGAGGATATCCGGTGGGAAATGGGATAAATGCGGATGTCTAGCGGTGTAGGTATTTGCTCATCTGCACTGAAGCAGGATTAATGTTGTGACTTACAGTAACATGAATGCATCTGCTTTTCTTCTGCTTCAGTCAGTAAAAATAGAAAATAAATCTATTCTTTGTTAACAGCGAACCTATTTCAATTTGATTTCCAAATCTGATCTGGATGATCCGACTGTTTAATGCACGAATTATGAATATGCATTATGTATTCTTCATCACTGTACATCATTTATTTGAACGGTTTATGCAAGACTACATTCAAGTTTCTGTTTTTACTGATTATAATACAAACAAATGCATTTGGCAGATGCTTTTATCCAAAGAGACTTATATTGCATTCAAGGTATATGCATTTCTATATCGGTCCATGCATCCCCTGGCAATCGGACATTGGCATTGGTGTTGCAAGTGCCATGATTTACTGTTCGAGCTACAGGAACTAAACAGATACGAGTTGGATATGTGTCAAATTAAATAAATGGTCTGTTTTCTGTCTGTGTGAATGCTCATCTGAAGTCAGAGTTGCAGCTGCGAGTGCATGAGTGGATCTTTCTCATGTATTCTGTTATTATAAGTGGCTTAGCTGAGGATATCCGGTGGGAAATGGGATAAATGCGGATGTCTAGCGGTGTAGGTATTTGCTCATCTGCTCTGAAGCAGGATTAATGTTGTGACTTACAGTAACATGAATGCATCTGCTTTCTTCTGCTTCAGTCTTTTACTTTTGGGACTGTTTAGGGGTCAGTCCTGGGACCGTAACGAATTTCAAGACTATTTTGCACATGTATTTTTTAAAGTATTTTTTTAGTGAATTCACTGCAATGAGCTAAATGGAAAAATCCATTCAAGATGAAAGATAAATCAAAAGAAATGTTTAATATACCTAGAATTCTTTAAATCGCAAAAGCTATAAATAAAAATGCACACGATATTTGTGTGTTATGTATTTCTGCTCTTCTGACAGCGATGGATTGATGGCTAAATGAGCTGCAGTGAGAATGAGTGAAAGCTGATTTTGAGGGTTTTTTTTCCACCAGACGGTATGAGATGGTTATGCAGAGACGCGTTGTGAACTTTGGGTGCCGTCAGCGAGAGCCGCGGGCTGAAGGAACATTCCAGATCCGCCGTTCACCTCGTCACGTCATCTTAAGCAGTTTAACACGTACAGATGTCAAACCAAGCGTTCGCTCACCTTGAACCTCCTTCTTCTCCTCCTGCTTGTTTGTTTGGGCTTCCACTGTCTTTATTATTTGTCCAGAGCAGCATGCTGGGAAACAAAGAAAGAAAGCGCTAGGTTAGACTCACAGCACTGCTATTCATTTAATGTCTGGAGCAATAAGAAAGAGTTTGAAATATGGGAATGAGCTCAAGTAAATGTAGAGCAGAAGGACTCGAAATGCAGTCAGAAGAGCTTCTCTGTGGACGACACACACATCAGTTATGAGGACCACACACACACTCGCTCTCTCACACACACACACACACACACACACACACACACACACACACGCATAATGAGTGTGTAGTTCTAGTGATCTTACCTTGTCCACTTGGTTTGGTCTTCAGGATGTAGAACATAATAATCATCACTATAGCGATGGCCATGATGAAGATGGTTGACATGGCGATGATGAGGGCCGTTGCTAGGTGACCTTGTCCTGTTGGATCTGGAACACAGTAAAAGATTCTATGTTGCTTGACGACCGTCAAATGCTACAATTGCACTGACTTTTTGTTTTGACTGATTGTTTATAGACCCTTTTTGTGCCGACGTCACAATTACGTCACAGCACTAGCTGGAGGCAAAATAATGAGAGAACTGGAGGCGGCCGAGACAAACCAGCACAGATTAGGCTACATGAGGAGCTTAAAATATCGTCTTGTTGTAATGTTGGGTTCCAGAATTTACGTAGTACAGGCTCCAATTTGAAATTTTATCACATACTGTACCTGCTGCCACTGCCAGAAAAAAACCCGATGACAGCTGTGGTTAAACACGTTAAAGTGAGTGAACTGGACAGAAACGATCGTCAAAATGCTCGCGTTTGCAGCGCACACTTCCCATCAGAAAAAGGTTTAATAAAGTATTGTCTTTTGTTGTTATGGATTATGGTTTGTGTTACGCGTCTAAAGATTTCTTATGCATCTCGTGTATGAAATAATGTGTGTAAAACAACAAACTGACGAGTCATATGCTTAATTCATCTGTAATTGTATATACATTGTTGTGATTGATTGTGGCT